TACCCTTTCATTCTTCTGATTCTCACAATTATAAACCTTTGGATTTGATCCACTCAGACTTGTGGGGACCTTTCCCAATAATTTCTCACAAAGGCCATAGATATTATGTGAGTTTTATTGATGATGCCACTAGATTTACATGGTTTTATCTTTTACAAAGGAAGTCTGACACAAAGGAAGCATTCATTCACTTTAAGGCTCTTGTAGAAAACCAGTTCCAAACTTCTATTAAGGCTTTTCAAAGTGATGGTGGTGGTGAGTTCATTGCCCTTAAGCCTATTTTATCTTCAGCTGGCATTTTCCACAGACTCTCATGTCCATATACACCAGAACAAAATGGTTTGGCAAAGAGGAGACACAGAACCATAGTTCAAATTGGACTTTCCTTACTTCATCAGTCTCATCTTCCCTTGCAATACTGGGATGAGGCCTTCTCCACAGCTGTTTATCTCATGAATAGGACCCCTCAAAAACCTTTGAACCTCATATCTCCTTTTGAATCCCTCACTGGTTCTAAACCAGATTACACCAACCTTAAAATCTTTGGCTGCCTTTGTTTTCCCTTGATGAAACCATATAACACACATAAACTTGAACCCAAAAGTGTCCCTTCCACCTTCATTGGTTACACCCCTGGCTTTAAAGGTTACAAAGTTCTTCTCCCTAACAAAAAGATCATCATCACTAGACATCTCATTTTTGATGAATCTTCTTTTCCTTTTCAAAACTCACCTCCTTCAGAAAGCCAACCAACACAGGCCTCCTTCTTCAACCAACAAAACAACCCTCCCATCATTCTACTAAATGATACACCCAACCCCTCATCATCATCAACCTCATCATCATCATCATCATCCCCTCAATCACCATCACACTCCTCTCCTTCTTCTTCTTCTCCTCATCATGCTTCACACAGCTCCTCTTCATCACCAATTCACAACAACCTTCAAGGACATATATATGTTGATTTACCTATTGAGCATAGTCATATTTCTACTTCAGATGCTGCTGAACCTTCTTCTCATAGTGTCCCTGCAGATCATTTCAACACTCATCCTATGACCACAAGATCAAAGCATGGCATCTACAAACCTAAGGTCTTAGCTGCCCAGGTTACTTCTTACAAGGAGCCTTCTTCCCTTTCAGAGGCCTTATCTTCACCTCAATGGACCAATGCTATGAATTCTGAAATTCAGGCCCTCACAAAGAATAAGACCTGGGATCTTACTCCTTTACCTACTGGAAAGACATTGGTTGATTGCAAATGGGTCTTTAAGTTGAAGAAGAATCCTGATGGCTCTATTTCCAGGCATAAGGCAAGGTTAGTGGCAAGAGGTTTTACCCAATCTGCTGGTGTTGATTACACTGAAACTTATAGTTCTGTCATTAAGCCTACAACCATTAAAATTCTCTTGTCTCTTGCCATAACCCATGGTTGGGATATAAGACAGGTAGATGTTGATAATGCCTTTTTATATGGGGATATTGATACTGAAATTTATATGACACAACCTCCTGGATTTCATGCTCCCAACTCTTCCAACCTTGTTTGCAAATTAAACAAATCACTGTATGGCCTTAAACAGGCTTCTAGAGCCTGGTCCAGCAAATTTGCCTCTACTCTTCTCTCTCTTGGTTTCAGTTCCTCAAAGGCAGATCAGTCACTATATTTTAAACACTCTTCCCACTTCAGTCTGTTTGTCATGGTGTATGTTGATGATATAATCATCACAGGGAGTTCCACAGCAGCCATTGACAACACTATCACTGCCTTACAATCTCATTTTTCTCTAAAAGACCTGGGAAAATTACATTACTTTCTTGGCATTCAAGTTGTTTATGATTCTGGTTCCATGTATTTGAACCAGTCTGGCTATGTTGATGAGATTTTACATAGGGCTGGCATGCAGGGGGCAAAGGGAGTTAATTCTCCCATGGTTGCAACACCAGCCCTATCTAAAAATATTGGGAACCCTTTCCATGATGTCTACTTATACAGAAGAATGGTAGGGGCACTTCAGTACCTCACCATGACAAGGCCAGACATTAACTTTGCTGTTAATAAGGTCAGCCAGTTTATGCAATTTCCCCTTGACACACACTGGAAAGCTGTAAAAAGAATCTTGAGGTATGTTGCTGGTACAAAGCATTTCAGTCTCAAACTATCTCCTTGTTCAGACTTCAATATCACTGGTTTTGCTGATGCTGACTGGGCCTCAGACATAGATGATAGGAGATCAACTTCAGGTTTCTGTACCTTCATGGGACATAATCTCATATCATGGAGTTCAAAGAAGCAAACAACCGTGTCCAGATCATCAACTGAAGCCGAATACAGAAGCTTGGCACATTCTGTCTGTGAGGTAATGTGGATAATTTCATTGCTAAATGAATTAAAGATTAAGCACAAGGATCCTAGTGTGATTTGGGTGGATAATCTAGGAGCAGTGCATTTGGCAGCCAATCCAATTGGTCATTCTAGAACCAAACATATAGAATTGGACCTACACTTCTTAAGAGAGAAGATTATGAAAGGATTGATATCAGTAAGGCATGTACCTGCCATTGATCAGATTGGTGACATTTTGACTAAACCTCTCAATGGGCAATCCTTCACAAGACTTCGAGACAAACTCAATGTAAGTTCTCAGCCGTTGCTTGGATTGCGGGGGCATATTAAAGGATCAAAGCATTTAGTCAAAACAAGTCAGTCAAAGAATCACAGTCAGCACAAATTTGGAGCCATGCAGCCTCGTCACCATACATGCAAGACAAACTGACAGGCTGTTAGGGTTTAGGATGGTTTAGGTTGTGTCCAATGAAATAGTAACACCTGTACATCTCACACACACACACATATGATATATATGTATCCTTAACCTGTGAGCAGCCATCTCGGTATCAATGCGATAGAACAGTTTCCCTTTTTGTGCAAGAAAACTATTATGGCTACAGATCTGGTTATGCATTCAATATTTTCATTCTCTTTTCATGTTTTTATGATACTCCTTTAGAAAATTCACGACCAAAAAATCCTGCATATGGCCGACAAATGCAATAATGATCGCGGGCTGAGGCAATTTTTTCGGGCCTCAATCTCATGCATCAAACGTCCGACAAGGACAAGATAATGGGCCAATCTCATCCAATCTAGGCTATCAAATGTGCTCTTAATGTGTTTGTCTAAAACTCTAAATTATAGTTTTGGTAGTTTATGATATGTAGTTCCTCAATCTCATTAGTTTATAATGAATCATTTTCCGTATGCGTAATTTTTGTTATCATTGTGGGATGATTATATTAGATATATATTTTAGAATACACGGAAATTTCTTATATAACAATGCATAATCATTCAATTTTATCTGTTATAATAATATTAGCATAAAATAATTTAACTCTCACAATTAAAAATGTATCAGTACTATTTCAATTGAGACATTCATCACAAATACCAAATCATTGTCAACCTTCCAATTTAGGTAAATTCAAGTGCCAATTGTAGTATTCAATAAATAATTTTTACATAGATTAAGATAAATATAATTCATAATAATTAATCATGGAAAACAGACTTTTTTTGTGTTTGCAATATTCGCTTGTTAACACAGATCGCGAAATAATTTGGCAGTAAATTTAAAAACTACTCGAATTACATTTGATATAAAACATTCAGTCCTAAGCTGGACTACGCCTGAAAAAATAAAATATGAACCAAATATATGTAGTATAATAAGTCGAATTCAGCTTGACTGGTTATATCGGCCGACCTGTCTCAGGCTCTCAGCTGCCTTGCTCGTTTACCAATTATCCAAAAAAATTAAATTTTTCAACTCAAAATTTAACTCAATTTTAATCCAACACTACTATTTTTAATATTATCAATTAATCATCCTTACACATCACAACAACTCTAATTTACTATTTATTCACCCACATAATTTTAACTACCTGACACTTCCAATTATCTATCTTCTACTTTTAGTCTTTTACGTCAAATTAACTTTGATTATTTTATTTTAAATATTATTTAATATAAACTCAAATCTCACTAATAACTAAACGTACCAACTTTTTTCAAAATTAACCATAATTAACCAAAAAAAAAAAAATCAATCAAATATCAATATATTTATGTAGGCTTAGTATTAGAAAACACTAATGTATAAATGCAATAAATGAGAAGCAATGTCGCCAAGAATGTTGTTGATAGGAAAATGTAAAAACCAGATACGAGGGTAGCTCATCTGCTGCCAGGAACAAGGAGGCAAGAGAGAGGAGCTGGAAACTGAAAGTCAAAGGAAAGCTGAAGCATTTTGTTTGGAAATGCTATTCAGGTATTCTACCAGTGAACTGTAACTTAGTGAAGAAAGGAGTGCTGGTTGATATGCCAAATGTGTGGGGTGGAAGAAGAAACCATGGAACACCTTTTCTTCAAATGTAGAAGAGCCAAACTTGTTTGGAAAATTTCTCAAGTGAACTGGGAGGACAGCCATCAGCAAGCTCTCTCCTTTCAACAATGGTGGTGGCAGATTTGTACTCTTGATAGGACAAAGATCTCAGAAGCCAGAATACAATTATCAACATATATTCTATGGTGACTCTAGAGTTCAAGAAATCTATGGATCTTTAAAAAACTCTGGATTACAGAGGTGATGGTGACTAAAGGAGCTTGGAAGGAGTGGCAGGAGTTTGTAGCAGGCTTGGGGTTACTTTGATGGTGATGTTATGTTTAGATTTTTATTTGACTTTGTCTGTTACTTCTGTGTTGGTAGTGTTAGGTTTGTTACTTGTGCTGTTGCAGTTGTATTGTGCAGCATGTTAGCAGGGACTTTATTGTTTTGTTCTGTCTGTTTGGTTTGTTTTGTGCAAGCAGGTGTGTCCTTGCTTTAGCTGTGTAGTTTGCTTGTTTCTAGACCACTATTCAAGTGTCTCCCAGTGTGTGTTTGTGCCCTTGTGGGCTTGTATCAGGCTTGTACTCTTTTGTTTGGTTTTAATGGAGATTTCTATCGNAAAAGGATACGAAAGTTGACGACACATATTATTAGACAATGTAGTATACGACGTAGGTTTTCTATCTATACAAATATTATACAAGACACAAGCTTTCTACATACTTATTAAAGGGATAATACAGTTACATAATTACTCGTAAAGCATCGACCAACAATTACCCTATTTACACGACGAGCCTTCCAACTTTGACACCCGTAACCCTAATAAATGACCATATGTTCAAGAGACGAACAAGAATTTTCACCTCGTCATGCCCAGTTCCTCTTGGATCGAAGTTGAGTGAGTTTGTCCCTCCACAATGCTGCCACACATCAAATAGTAAGTACGATAATTCGAAAATTGAAGTTACATTTCTTTAAAAATGGCTTTGACGAATTTTCTTCGTGATGTGTCCGTGCATGTCACAGTTCTATGTCAATTTATACATTGATTCGAATAAGAACTCTTGTAATAATAATAATAATAATTAAAAAAAAAAAAAAACAATTGACAATGTCCACAAGATTAAAATTAATGTCCACATTGAGGTGATTGAGATCTCTGGTTAATTTTATAATTCCCGGCCAGGAAAGGACTAAAACTAAATACGATTTAGTTCAGGGAGTAATTACTAATTTCACAAACTGTTGGATACTATACCTGCATCCCGGTATCGTTCTTCGACAGCAGCAATTAGCATGTTACGTACCAAGTTGAATTCCTTTGTCTGAATGCACGGCTGCCCGGTAGGCCTGCATCCAAAACAGCAAAAATTCATAGTAAGAATTTTTTTTCTTCCAATCCTCACTAGCTTACTTGAGATAATCATAAATTTTTCAACATGGGATTAAAGAAAACCCAGAAGCATATAGGATTTTATTTTATTTTATTTTTCTTTTTTCCTACAAAAATGTGCTTCACATACCTGTCCAGTTCAGCAAACAACAGGCCATCGGACAAGATTCTGTGAGTTGTCGCATTTGGAGATTCAATAACCGTCATACCATCACTGTATGCCAGGAACTTGTTCACTTGTATTGGCACCTGGTGAAAATATCAAATTTTCTCTTAATAGGATAAAAAAAAATGATAGTTTATTTTGATTGTTTATTTGTGTCCTATTACAGCAAATAACTGATGTGTTGCTAACTTCAGAACCGAATACCCACCAACTCATGGCTCTGCACAAATTAATAATTCCCAATTGCATGAATCAAACTAGATGTAAGAATACTAGAAAGCATATAGAACACTTGTTTAAATTTTAAAGACACGTTTTAAACTCACGGCCAAAGTACGAAAAAATAGAATGCTTGAACCACAAAACCTATAGTAATGTAATCTACAAGTCAACTAGTGATACACTATTCAACTATTGGCCATAAAATGAAACTCAGTAAAAACCACACCACATTTACAATTCAATATACTGATCAGATAACATAGATTAGCCTGCTCGTCAAGAACACCGAATTATCCTTGATTTTCCACAAGCTTTTATCATGAAAATTCACATTTAATATGAGTGCAAATGGGAAGTAAAATTTGATATATAACTTGCCCTACAAATGTTAGTTAAAAGTAAAAGAACAGAGCTGAACAACTCGTGAATTATTACCTTGCATCTCACTGCAATATTAATAGCATCTGAGGGTCGAAGATCCAAGCATATGCTCTCTGCTTCATCATCCAACTTCAAAAGGCACAATAGATTTTCTCAAAATTAACCAATATACAGGAAAAAAAAAGATCAGAAGCATATAAATTAGCATTGTCCCATGACAAACAAGGTGATTTTACCTTCGTAAGGTGCAACTCAGCAAAATAAGCCTCTTGTACCCTTTTGGTGACTCGTACAAGTTTAACCTGAATAGTGAATACATAAATCCACGATACAAGCTTAAATAATTTGGTTATAATTTGTACCACCAAGAAATGGATATCTAAAAATGTCTACTAAAAAGACTCACTGTGTATCCCATCTTCTCAACCATATCATTCACCACTTGATACATTGTTGGTCTAGCCTGAACCACCAAGTGATGAATTAGCTTAACAAAGTAAAATAAGAGAAAGAGAAAGGGCACTCATACGATTTGGACATTGCGTAGAGCAGCCATAAGAAGCACGCTCGGCATCTCCACTATAACAAAATCCATAATAAAAAAAAAAATAAAAAAATCATGATATAGAATAACAAACCAACTTTTCAATTGTGAGAAAGTATTAAAGAATATTATTTTGCACATACAAACAATTATTGGCAAAAGAATCCCAGACCCATCTTCCATCTTCAACACAATAGCAGGGTGAGGAGCATAATCCGGTAGACGACCTCCTAGAGGGTTATTATGGGCACATCTCAAATACTTACCATCTCTCATCTTGATCATGAAACCTTCTGGCCCACTTTTCACCTCAACTATTGAAAGTTTTTTTTTTTAAGAAGAAAAAATAAATACATTAATTCATTGCATTTCCAAGTGTAGCACAATCAATGATCGACGAAGTTAACAATATATAAGATGTAAATCAATCCATTTCGTCAAAAATATTGTTTACTTGAAAATTCACAATATATAATATGTTCTAATGGCATTCAGAAGAATTTTTTTTTTTAAAAAAAAAAAAATAGTAATTACCAGCTTCAACCACGCTTGAGTTCACGTAATCTGAATCATTCTCATTGGAATTTCCAGCCATGCTGCCATTACCATCTGATGACGAGCTGAAGCTATTTCTAATCATATTGCATTTCCTCGAGTTTTTTCGGTAGCCCACATGATTAGTGTGGCCTACATTGAGCCGTTTAAGACCCCATAATCCATTTCTAACAAACTTAGCTTTCAGAAAGGGTGAATCGAAAGGCACAGAGTGCACTTGGTTTTGTCTAGCATGGACCACAGGGCAAATCACCGGACCTTGTAACGAAGCCATCTTGAATCTTTGGATGCATCAGAGAAGAAAAAATAAATTATTAATTAATAGGAACCATATTAGGCTATCTTGGGCAAACATAACACAAGTTACCGATGAACCAAATTTAAATTTACAAGTTATACAAACAAATGATAATTGTCGACACAGTAGTATAGCGTAAGCATTCAGAGACCGACCTGAATCGTTTTCAGATATTATCGGCCTTGAGTCCAAAAATACGACGTCCCGTTTCGAAATTTTTAATTGATTATAAGATTTCTATCTTTTTTTACTCATCATTTTCTTTAAGAAATGGCTAGGTATAAAAAATTAGTAAAAATATCTGTGTGAAAATAGTCACTTTTATGCCAGACAGTCAGAAGATTCGATCCTGAAGGTATGTGCAGTGTGTGCGCTGGGTTTCTCACCGTTGAATCACACGCATACACACACACACCCACAAGGGTGTGTGTTAATTCATTGGTGAGAAAAGCCTTTGACTTTAGTTATCAAAATCGAAGCTGATAACACCAATCAAATAATCAGCCTGACATATCAATAAACAT